ATGTTGCGGTCACGCCTTTTTACACATCTCCCCCACCTCCTGCTGTTGGATGTCAGCTGTAAACTCGAGCATCCATCCACAAACGTTTTATGAGGGTTTGGTTTCTGACTCATTCCTTTGCATTATAAACCTTTGCCAAATTACAGCATTGTATCCTATTACACTTCTGTCACTTCTGTCCTGAGGAGGAGTCCTCAGAGTCCTCAGAGGTCTCAGAGGTCTCAGAGGTCCTGGTCACTGCCTCAGGTAGGGCAAAGCTAGGCAAGTAAATTGCTAAGTAGGTTAAAGTCTTTCAAAGTACTTCACTATAGGGAGGATGCATTGAATGATGCGTTATAGTATAAACATATTCATGTGTCTAATGTGCTGATTCCTCATGTTTAGTCCTGACTTTGTTCTCCTGTAGGAGGCGTTGGTTCATTTGGCTCTTGGATCTGTAACAGGCCCTGACATGTCAGAGATGATGCCCTTCGCCCACTCACAAGGCCGAGACTTTGTCCCAGAGGAGGGACACTCCTACAGGGCTGTCCACACTCAGCTGCCAGCAGTTTACACATTACATTCATTAGATTCAATGCATATGTGTGACATGTTGCAAAGAAGACTGAACATGTGTACACTTTAAAAGAACTGAAAATGTCATCATCTTGAGTAAAAGCCAGCCTGTCTGGGGCTAACTAACAGAACAGTGGCTGCCAATGTGAGTCAATGTAGTAGTAGTAGTAGTAAGTAATCTTTATTTATATACCGCCTTTTCACTGCACATCGGAGTCTCAAAGCGGTTTGTCTTCTCTAAGCATCAATAATCACTCTCAAACATACTACAACCACAGCAGAAACCCACGAATCACACAAAATAAAACAAATATAAGCATCTTTGTGTTGGCACAGTTCATCTTCACATCTGCTCTTCTTTTTAAACACTGCTTCAACTACTTTTGTGACTAACACCCATTCCACACCCAGCCCGATGATGTAAGGGGGGAGACAGATCTAATTGTGACCCAGTCCTATAAAATGTTGGTGAAAAGCGTAGTAATGGGAAAGTTTTACATTCATCTGCCAAGACCCAAAAAACAGATTTTTTGTGTGCCATGTTTTTAGTTAGACCTTGCTGCACAATAGATTAAAAAGGCTGGGAACTATGCTACATTTGAGAGTGTAAGAATTTGTTTCCCTATTATCTTATTCCCATTTGCCAAGTCCATTTTGAAAAATTGAATGTCAAAATCGGCTTTGTGTTTGTTAAACCATAACTAAACATGTTACACTATGGGTAACAGGTATATTTCCCTGCTGCTTATGTCCAAACCGAAAAAGAAATCCAAAATGATCAAAGTTGCAGAAGTACACTAAAGAATTCAAATAGATTTTAGTCATGCACACATATCTACACATGTCTCTGGTATGCCGGCTGGTCTATACCAACTGTGCATTTTGGCCCTTGTTCTCAAATCTCAAACCTCTGCTATGCTGATGTAATTAGATTGACAACAGTGGCCGTCTGTCTTCAGCGAAACTACAACGCTCAATAGGAACAATGCTTAAATCCAATACAACACAAGTACATAGTATTTTGAGTATACAAATGTGGACAAATCTTCAAATGAAACTCCATCTCCTCTCTGCAGCCAGTTTAAGAGGCCCTCACACAGACGTTTCTCTTTCCATTGTTGTGTTGCTCACCACACAGAGGCAAGCTAATCTCCGAGTCACCTGGAGGCCTTCACCTGTCGCTCCTACCTGCAGCTCAGAGACATTCCCACCTCCTCAGACAGATCCAGTTACACACCAAAGCTCACACTTGAAAGGACTGCAAAGGGCTGGTGCGCCTCAGTGAACCCAGACAACACCGCACCTTTTAAGCCAAGTGTGCAGCAGTTCAGGGAAAAGTTAGGTTGGCGGCGTTGTGTGTCATTCTGGTTGATCTTCGACTAAGGGAGGAACATCCATACTCTTTACAATTATATGTGCAAATACAATAAGTGCTGGCCTGGGTCGGACAAGTCAATATACATGATCTTACATAGTGCAGCTTTGAGTATGAAATGCATGACGTGTTGTTTTCCTTTGTTGTCTCTTTAATACTGTACATAGGTTGCTCCTACTCTGTCATTGGTTTATGGGCTCAGGAAGAAAGCCAAGTGCTTAAGGCAATCCAACATCAATTGACATGTGCTCCGTTGAAACTAGAAGAGCCACCAGAAGAAATGTAGTAAAGAAAGCAAAGAAGGACCTTTAATGTATGCAATCTCCTTTTAAAGTAGACCAGTCCAAAATCTCTACTCTTTGCTATTGTTATAACTGGTAAATACTTTCAATTGATTAAGGTCTATAATGAATGAGGTCTATAGCGAATGCAGACAAAGCTGGGGTGTATACAGTATGTACATTTTTTGCCCCATAAATGGCACGTATTGTGAAAGTGAAAAGTGAACAAATAGGGCCACAACACACTCATATAATTAGAAACATGTTTTCTTCAGCAGACTTGTAAGAAAGACACTTTGGGCTGAGCTTTGTGGCTGAGTGAGGGTGGTCCTCTCTTTTCACTTATCTGTCTGAAAAGGCTGGTCTAAAGATGTGACAGAGGACACAAAACACATGTGAAAACTACTGATAAAACTATATTGTTTTAGAGCCATTATCTACACTGTAAAAACAAATGTGTTTAATGTCAACAGATTTTTGGTTGTTAGTTCCAGTTGGTATAGTCTTGTGTCTGAGCAATCGTTCGGCTGTAACAACCAGAGACTGAGACTGTTTTAACTGTTTTTATACTGGTCATAGCACCAACCAGTGCAGAGGGGTTGGTTGACCACCACCAATGATTCATGCACATCAGACTTAATAGGCCATGTGGGTGAAGTGTCTTGCATAAGTTGCCCCACTGTAGCACCTGATGTTACCAGAAGTCTCCCATCACAGTACTGACAAGGCCCTGCCCTGCTTAGCTTCTATTTTGGTATAGCGCCAATTTTGGTAATATTGGTAATTTTGACCGATAAATTGGGCAATCCAACCAGTAATAATTTAACCAACATGTTGTTTATCCAACCAATATTTATTTTGGAGTGCAGGCCATAGCCATTTCATAGTTCATTTTTTGTGGTTTTAGATTTACTGACCCCAGCTTTAAGTAGTGTAAAGACACACACCACCACACTGCACACAAGGAATGCCTTCAGCTCCATTATGTGATGCTTTTGACTGTGGCAGGTTCCAACTTCACGTCTCAAGTACAATTCTATACAGCTCTCAGCGTCCAAACTTGTGACGGCAAAACTCCAAAGAATTCTGGGGTCAAATGAGGCAGCTCATAATGTGAAGTGTCTAACCATCTCTTGAAACTGAAGAAGTATGACTGCTTATCACACTTTATTACATTACAATATTACATTAGACATCTATTTGGGGGAATCCGGCTGCTTCTGTTCCAACTGCTTCAAAAGTAGGGATTTTCTCAATCCGTTGTACGTTGTGCTACTAGAAATACCTGATTTTTGAGGCTTCATCCGAATGTGACAGTACCATTTGAATTCCTAAAGGTGCATCTCACAGTTTACAGACAATAGTTTCATGCATTTATATCAAGAAGAATATGGAAGATTTTTTGATATGTCAGATTTTGACATTTTTAACCCTGAAAAAGCATGTTGGAATGTTTTTGTCTTTGCTTTTCAGTCATTAACAATTCAGTGGACAAATTTCAATGTGTTCAAAGAATTCAGAATTTCAAGCATATTTTATAATCCAAAATCTGATACCTTCCATATATATCATACACCTTTCAGATAACTGATCCACAGACTTAAATTACCCACTGGATACATTTAATGCACTTTATTTAAGCCATCTTTTATGGCCTCGTAATTATCCACAATCAATCAACTACACTATTCATTACTTAGTGTCACACTCTTGCCTTTTTTGTAATACATTTTGCCTGATTACGATGTGTGTCAAGGCCGATGGATTGATAGGGAGGATATGGGAGTAATCTGATAATCAAAGGCAGGAACATCTCCCCATCTCTTGTTCAATAAATCAGACGTGGGCTTTTCCTCTTGAAATGTAATTCAGCGGAGTGAAAATAATGGACGTCTGATTTATGAACTCCCAGCCCATTATCTCAAGTCTTCAATTATTTACAACACATTCTGCAGCAGGTGTTATTAATGGTTCTTACATTAATATTTCATTGGGTCGTTTTAAACCTTGGATGGAAGCAGTATAAATATGTTTGTGATATTTTTCTCTGTGGTTCCTTGAATAACATCAGGCCTAATTTGCTGTTATCATGAAAATAAAGGTAACATTGGATTAATATACACAATTTAGAAATGATTTAAAATTCAAAGAGGTTTATAGTGATATAGCCTGTATGATCTATATGATCTATAAATGTGATATTTGTAACATGACTTAAATGTGTGCTTTTCAGGTTTTTCAGATCACTTTGATTACTTGTTTGACTATTATTTAAAAACCTGTTTCTGTTTAGCTACAATGTAAAGATTTTTTATTTACAAGAGAAACCCCACACAGTCTTCAAAGTTGAAAGGAATTTGTGTTTAAGTGTAAAATAGGAACCTATTATGTTGTATTTGTGCAGCTGACTGCCACACTAGACTTGCCATTGCTTTGTTTATCTTTGACCAAGATAGCAAATAATGTGCCTGATAGTCAAGGCCTTGAAGAGACAAACAGCAATAAAAAAAATAATTAAAAAAATACAATAAAGAATACTATACTTTTAACAACGACCCTGGATCATATCATGTACAAAGAATAACGTAATCTAGATCTGCTGCGTCAGCTGCTTGTGTGGCGTGGACAGAGCAGTGCCCACGCGTGCACATAGGGGGCGCAGCGGAGCAGGCGCGCTATGTGGAGGCGCACAGGACACAGCGCGTCCAGTGCACACTGTCCGAGCAGAGAGCAGCAGGTCAGCGCCACTCCACGGGACGACACGGGACCATACGGGACGATACGGGACCATGCTGCTGCGGGCCCCACACTGGACTATTCGCTCCTCTCTTTGTTTTCTTCTCCCAACGTTGATCATCGGCTTCAACCTGGACACGAACCATGTGGTCAGGAAAGACGGAGAACCGGGGAGTTTGTTTGGTTTTTCTCTGGCCATGCACCGGCAGATCAACCCGGATCAAAGAGTGTAAGTTATTTTGTTTCTTATGTTGAAGGATGAAGAATCATGTCGGGAGTTTTACTTTGGTCCAATGGTCTGCACGTCACCCATAACAGTTTACTAAGGCACCTGAGGAGGCAGGTTCACCACTAATGTTGACTACACTTTAGTGCAGCTAACTTTTCATCCTTTATCACCTCCAAACAGTGAAAACACTTTCCCTTGTTCTGGGATTATACAGTTTGCATTGTTGCACGTCTTTTACGCACTAGTTTCAATGCGTGAAGCTTCTTGTGACGCTTTTGAATTGGACGCAGCCGCGGGACAAGTGGACCACAATGGAGTTGTCATGCAAATGAGGCTAGGGTCAAGCTGAGGCAGAAGGGAAAGCTGACCAATTATAGGCTGAATTGCACGATGGCATGTCAGAACCATTACTCTTACTACGTCCCTCAAATGGATTGTGTTGGTGTGCATGGTCTGTCTAAATCTTATAATTTATTCACTTTGTATCTTTTGCATAATCACAAGAAAAAGGATCATTTGACGCTTTGGGCTGAGAGCTGATTGGCTGAGTGAGGGTGGTCCTCTCTTTTTCTCTTTTCTGTCTGAAAAAGCAATCGATGTGGGTTGAAAGTTAGGTACTCCAGCTTTAAAATGGAGTTACATCCATTCATTTTACATTTCCATGGGAACACGCTGGTGGGAACTTTCCTCCAGGCCCAGCACAAGATAAAGGTTTTGTTTATTCAAAATATTAAAAACAATCAATATTTAAAATGAAAAAATTCAACAACCAAGAAACACTCATTTTTGTTGTGAATATTATTTGGAGCTGGAAAGTTGAAAGTTCAAATTCTGTCTATAGATAGGTTTCTAAACAGGCCTATGAAAGATAAAGTCCAAGCATATTGATAATTTTGTTCCGAGATTAAACTTTTGCACCAATGTTGACACACACACCGAGTTCTACAGGGCTTCAAACCAAATGACACTTACTCAAATCCTTACATAAATGGCCCTGGTGTTTTATAGGCTAACTCACCATTGACCACTGAGTGTGACAGATGCTCGTGCTGTCGGCTGGCTCTGACCAACCCTCCATTCACATTTAACAGGCGTGAAGAGAGGAGTGGTCCTCTGCAGCCGGGGCCCTGTGCCAGCATGTTGACAAATGGAAATCAAGGATGAGAGCGTTTCCCAAGATCACCTAGATTAGGCGTTGGTCGAGGAATGTAATCAGCCGGCTGTTTTGGCTGCGTCCAACCAGTGTATGAAGTGTCTGGAATGTAGCAAAGAGGCTTATTTTGTACAAGAACAGCACTGTCGAATCTTAAAGGGAATGAATGTAGTGTGTGTAGGGCAAACACGGGCTTCAAATGTGACACTGGCCTGATTGTTAGCTTTCTGACAGTAAAAGTAAGATGGGAGTGAAGATTGTCCACGGAAGCAGCAGGGAATGAAAAAAGCTCTGAGTTACATTTACTTTGTTTTCTCTGAGAAACCACATACGACATTATATAGTCGGCTTGGTTCAAAGAGCCAAGAGCTTTCTTCTTTATGACATTAAAGAAGAAAGAAATGGTTGTTTAGTGTATGTACAGGACATCCAAACATACTAAACATCCAGCGTGTTAAGTGTTGAGGGGATAACAAATGTGAACAGACCATGTCAGTAAAATGTTGTTTATTCCACCCTTTCTCAAAACAAGGCTGAGGTTTTCCTTTTTAAACGCTGAAGATCCCAGACAGTCCTTCTGAGTAGGCAGTTCCACATAGACCAGTGCAGCAGTTGTTTTGGTTACAAAGTGAGCGTGAACAGCAGATATGGTCACACTGTGGAGCCTCATGTGACCTTCAGACACACAGTGTAAGCTCTGAGTAAGCTCTACAGTCTGAGGCTGAGTTTACACGGAGACAATGTGGCAGTAAAACAGTATAGTTGGATGTCGGTTGCTACCAACCGTTCATACGAAGACTGTGTTCCAGGGGGGTCAAAACGTAAGTGTTCAGATCCAGCCCACAGCCTCACACCAACATGGGATCAGTCACAATATCAAATGTACCGTTCTTTACAATGGTATGATTCTTTATTAACACAGTGACAACACACAACAGTTAAACATCTGTGTTCAGTGGTGAAGAGGGCAAAGGTGATGTCGAGGAGACAGTAGTGCGCTAGTGGCACTGAGGACATATTTCTCTGTGAACAATAAAGACATCAAAGTCTATAAATGAAAAAGCAGAACATGTCCCAGATTGGCTCAGCGATAGAGCTCTCACCCACCAACCTAAAGGTCTGAGGTTAAACTTCTGCTCATTGTGTTCTGAGATGACACACTTTAGTCTGAATGTGTGTGAGTGACTGCTGTCAGAGCAGCCTCATTTACATCCGTCTACCCCAGGGCAGATGTCCTACAGATTACCAATGACTGTGCAGGCTGATTCAAAACTAACACATCTAACACATAATTATCATATATTTTTTCAATTAATGACATTATGTTCTGCGATGTCCTGAGCCAGTCTCAAAACCAAAACAGTATCAGTATTGTCCTAATCTAGTATGACCATAAACTAAGGAAGTGAGCCGTTTTAAAAGGCATCTTTCCTGTTTGGTCAAAGTAACACTGTCCCTGTTCAAATAAAATCACACCAAACCACTTTCCTGAAAAATTGTGGTCTTGAGATCTCTTGATCTTAGAATAAACTATTTCATAAACTTGAGATGCTGCCTGACGAGTGACAACACCTCTAGCTAAGCCTTGTGATCAGCACTTTACACTAGAGGAAACCAAGAAACAAGGAAAACAAGTAAAACCAAGTACGAAAAGTGATTTTGTTCTTGCTTTGAGACAATCCCCTTTTACCCCTGATTACAGTCTGCTCCATCTGTTACATGGAAGTTCAAACCATCACAAATGTAAAGGGCAACTTGAGTAACTGGTACTTCCTCATCAGGCAGCTCTACTTTTCTGCTTATATTATAAAACAATGTGCCATCTTTGTCCAGGACGTCTGTGGTATGAATAATGCTCAGCGGTTAATGCAGCGGACAAAACATCCTCCCATTGAAACAGGAGCAAGGGTCTCTTTGACTGCACACGAACGGCCATCTGTGCCCTGGTAACCTGAGAGAGAGAGAAAGGCCTCCGTGATTCATCAGAGGAGGCATGCGACATCACACAGTCACTTAATGCATTAGAATGTGTGTCTCTTCACAAACATCTATTGCCTTTTGAATATTCATAAACAACTTGTAATTACCAATCAGGGTTTGACACTAATCACTCGTCAAAAAAATAAGGATGCAGCCCAATCAGTTGTGTTGTAGTGAGAGAAAACTGGAGCCGTTAGAACAGCTGTGGTGGTTCTTGTTTCCGAACGCACAGCTGTAGGAGTCCTGCACCACATCAGCCTCTCTGTAAACTCTGTAAACCACACCAGCCTCTGGTCGGCCCACTGAGTCCGCGCTGAAAGACCGCCATGTACTTAAGTGCCATTTATGAAGCCTTAAGTGATTGCACCAGATCTGGTGACTTCAGAACATTCCCATTAGTTTGGACACAGGAATGCGGCCCACTTATTCTGAATAAAAATCTCAAACATGAAGTCAGAAAGCGCATACCATTTATCATTATTCTCAGGAATTGTTAACTTTCAATATGTCATCTGCTATGTACACTAAAATTCCCAATTAGAAATGTATATAAGTAATGAGTAGATGTAATTTTTGCCAGAATATTGCATGTTTGTATACTGTCGGCACTAGATCATATACAGAATCGGGACGGAAGCGGAAATAAATATAACCAACTACCTAAACTAATAGATTCATGCCTAAACTTAACCAGTCATTCCCATAGAAAAACCCCAACCCACCCTTAACCCTAACCATAACCCTAACCATAACCCTAACCTTAAAGGAGCAATATGTAAAAATCTGGCCAAAAGTGGTACTGCAGTCACAGTCAATATTTTGTAGTCCTCTCCCACTCTCCCTGACTCAGGTTGCCAGATTCACACCAAATCCAGCAGCAAACACAGGGAATTATTTTATCAGTTGTTTGTCCGTCTCCATTCACATTGCCATGACAGCCGTGCTAATGCTGAATGAATGTTTTGATTCATGTTTTTTTATTATTATAATTTGGACATTTGAGATAAAAAACAAAAACAAAATAAAAGCAATGTAATTATACATAGTTTATGCAAAATAAATAAGAAATTGATGTCCAAAATAGGAGTGGGAAGAATGGATGTTGGAACGTATTTCTTCAGCGTATCAACATCAGGGTTTGCTCAAGAGGATATCACCTTTCAATTTTATTTATTCCCTATTTTTTAGACAAACATGTAAAAGTCCCACATCAAAAAGAGACTAACATTATTTTAATTGGGGTACATGTGGTCTTAAATGATTATTTTTACAATTAAGCTATAATCTGCAAAAAAACGTCTTGACCTTCATCTTTTACCGTTTTTAGAGCAATCTGTCATAGAATGTGATCACATGCAATAAATACAAAAAGACATAGCCCGGGATCGAACCTGGGTTCCTGCATCGTAAGCGCACAGCTTAGACCTCTAGGCCACCGGTTCACACGATCAGAGACACCGTGAAGAACAGAATGAAACTAGAAAATTCTGCATCACACGTAAACTTTTATCAGCTGTCTCAATTGTTCAAAGGCATCCCGATATAAATCCTCGTTTTAGTCTTTGTTTTGTCATTAATTATTTGAGAGTCATAACAAGACCTTTTTTAGTTCTACGCCACATGTTATTTTACCACTGAGATTAATGAGCCGCGCGGAGTTCTGGCAACCCGATCACGGACTTACATGACACTTCCTGATTGGCGAAACGGCGGAGGGTAGGACATCAAAATCAAAACAATAACAACTTTTACGGGTCGTAAAACTAGTTTTGATGATCAAATATCTCGGCTGAACTACTGTTATCAGTTAAAGATGAATTCGAAAAGAGTATGATTTAATAACGCCTTTTGAAATATTCGGGTCATT